TTTTTTTGCAGGATTACATAGCGGTGAAGGGTAAATCGGCGAAATATTTGCCGCACAGTGCTGGCCGCTATCAGGTGAAGCGTTTCCGTAAAGCGACATGTCCACTGGTTGAACGTCTTGCGTCCACAATGATGATGCACGGTAGAAACAATGGCAAGAAGCTGATGACCGTTCGCATTGTGAAGCACGCCTTCGAAATCATTCACCTCTTATCCGGCGAGGTTACACATCTTTCCCGCACTGTTACGCCTCACGTCTTATCTCACTCTTACCTTCTTTTCTCATAGCTGTTCTTGCTTTCTGTATGCAGTGGCGCCTTCGTCACTTCGGCTTCCAATCGGCTAAACAGTAGCTGTTACACAGCACGAAACGCATAAAAATCCAGTCTTGTCTCGATGAAAACCGATGGATATCGCCAAGTAGAAAATGATATCCGCGAGAAAGTAAACGACCACTCTGGGCCCAGCAAGAGAATCTCGCTTCCCCACAATGACATTGCAATACCGGTGGCATATTACATTCGTTGTAATAATACGGCCCGGGGTTAAGAGGGGGTTTTTGTGATAATATGACTTTGTGCTGTTGTTTAGGTGTGTGCGAAGAACGCAATCTTTCATGACCTTCCTTTTTTGGGCACATCGTGACTGTGCTTTTATCATTTCTCCATGATGTGCCACGCGAGGAAAAGTTTAAAACGCCGAACATCGCTGATTTGTGTTACGGAGAAAGTCCGACTCCTTCTCTCCCCCTTCGTTTACCTCTTTAGTGAATAAAACACTATAGAGATTCAGGTGGAACGGGCGGGAGGGAGAGGGCAATGAATAACGAGGTCTGCCTTTACTGCTTTAAGACGTATTTCCGCCTCTGGGATTCACGAAATCTGCCTTTGCTGTTGTAAGATCCATGACATTATGAACAAAATGCCGGAATTTTTCAATTTTTGATCGCAATCACTGGCCACCAGGAGTGGCACACAAAAAAATATGCCTAATTTACTGGGGTCACAGTTGTTGCATCATGACTTCCTCCCAGGTAAGTCGTGCACTGACGCGAAAGCGACCTATATAAGGCCACCGTATCTGTATTGTAAGTAGTATTTTATCCGGCATTATTGTATCCAGCGCGGTGTCTCTCTGAAGGAGTAGTGTTATTCCCGTCCAGTGTTGTCGA